CAATGTGGAGAAAAAGGAACACTCATACATTGCTGGTGGGACTGTAAATTGGTACAGCCACTATGGAAAACAGTATGGAGTTTCCTCAAAACACTAAGGATTGATCTACCATATGATCCAGCAATCCTCCAAAGACTTGAAAACTCATATCCGAAAAGTATTTGCACGTTGATGTTCATAGCAGCATTATTCACATGGAAGCAACTGAAGTGTCCTATGATAGATGATTGGCTAAAGAAGCTGTGGTACATATATACAATGGAATATTACTCAGCCATAAGAAGAGATGAAATACTGCCATACCTTGAGATAATCATGCTAAGTGAAACAACCCGGACAGAAAAAGTTGAAAATCACATGATATCACTTATATGTAGAATATAAACCTAAAAGCAACAAATGAACAGGACAAACAGAGACTCATGGACATGAACTATAGACTAGTGATTACCAGAGGGTAGGGAGTGGTGGGAAGGAGGAGGTAGATGAGGTAAAGAGAGTCAAATATGTGGTGACAGAAAGAAATCTAACTATGAGACGTGAACACACAGTGTAAATATATATGTTCCTTACTGTTCAAGTGTACAGATGAAACTTATTGGATTTCGTTAACCAATGTCACCATAAAAAAATAAAAATAATAAAATAAATTTTAAAAAAACTTTACAAGCTAGGAAGGAGTGGAATCAAATATTCAATCTATTGAAAAGGAGAAATTACCAGCCAAGAATAATATACCTGGCAAAATTCTCCTTGCGATATAAGGGAGAAATAAAGACCTTTTTAGACATACAGAAGCTAAGAGAATTTTCCACCACAAGGCCTGCATTACAGGAAATACTAAAGGGGTTCATTCTACCTGAAACAAAAGGAAAAAAAAGTACAAAACTATGAGTAAGATGACTAACAAACAGACAGAAGTGGGAAATCACAACCTTTATTAAGAACAGGGTATTATAAACTTAAATATTACATAATGGTTAAAGGTCAAAAACTTTTTAAAAATATAATAGCTACTGAAACTCAAAAATGTACTCATGGAATAAATAGGGATAATTTGAGACAACAAAAACAGAAAAAAGGAGGGAGTAAAGGTCTGAATCTGCAAAGGGGAATGGAGATAAGACTCATGCAGAAGAAAAAGGATTACTATATATATGAAAACTTCTTTTACATAAACTTAATGGTAACCACACACGCAAAAATATATAGAACTGAGACACATAACATAAAACAAGAAGGAACGGAGGGAAAAACCATAGAATATTTCCAAACTAAAATAACAGACAGAAACACAAAAGCAAAGAAACAATAAGGACACTGAGCTACCAGAAAACAAAAGATAAAATGGCTATCAGAAAACCTCACATATCAATAATCACCCTAAATGTAAATGGATTGAACTCACCAATAAAAAGTCACAGAATAGCAGATTGGATCAAAAAACAAAACTCAACTATATGCTGCCATTAAGAGACACATTTCAACTGCAAAGACAAATATAGACTCAAAGTGAAAGAGTAGAAAACGATACTCTAAGCAAATGGTATCCAGAAAAAAGTAGGAGTAGTCATACTTATATCTGATGAAATAGACTTCAAGATAAAAAAGGTAAAGAGAAGCAATGATGGACACTACATAATGATAAAGAGAACCATACATGAAGAAGACCTAACACTTATTAATATTTATGCTTCCAATCAGGGAGCACCAAAATATATAAAGCAACTACTAACAGAACTAAAGGGAGAAACTGACAAAAACACAATTATAGTAGGGGACCTACATACCCCACTGTCAGCTATGGCTAGATGATCCAAACAGAAAATTGATAAGGAAATATCACCCTTCAACGACACATTAGACCAGTTAGACACAATTGACATTTACAGACCCTTTCATCCCAAAGCAGCAGCCTATATATTCTTCTCTAGTGCACATGGAACATTCTCAAGGATAGATCGTATGTTGGGACACAAAATCAGCATCAACAAATTTAAGACTGAAAGTATACCAAGCATATTCTCTGACCACAATACTTTAAAACTAAAGAGCAACTGCAAAAAATAAGTGGGAAACCATAAATATGTGAAGATTAAACAACATGCTACTAAAGAATAAGTGGGTCACAGAAGAAATAAAAGGAGAGATCAAGAAATATATAGAAACAAACAAGAATGAAAACACAGCATGACAAAATTTTGAGATACAGCAAAAGCAGTAATAAGAGGAAAGTTTGTATATTTACAGGCCTATCTCAAGAAACAAGAAAAATCCAAAATAGACAACCTAACATATCTTAGAAAATTAGAAAAAGAAGAACAAATGAAGTCCAAAGTCAGCAGAAGGAAATTTTTTAAAAATTGAGCAAAATTAAATGAAATTGAGATCAAAAAGACAATAGAAAAAAATAAAGCAACAAAGGACTGCTTTTTTGAAAAGCAATAAAATGGACAAATGCCTTGTTAGACTCACTACGGCAAAAAGAGAAAGGACACAAATAAACAAAATCAGGAACAAAAGAGGAGAAGGTATGACAGATACCACCGAAATACAAAGGGTCGTATAAGAATACTATGAAAGATTATGTGCCAACAAATCCAATAACCTAAAAGTAGACAAGTTCTTAGAAGTATACGACCTTCCGAGACTGAATCACAAAGAACTGGAAAATCTAAATAGATTAATCAGCAGTAATGAAATGGAAACAATCATCGAAAACCTTCCAAAAAATAAAAGTCCAGGACCAGATGGCTTCAGTAGTGAATTCTATCAAACATTCAAAGATGATTTAATGCCTGTGCTAATCAAACTTTTCCAAAAAATTGAAGAGGCAATACTTCCTATCTCATTTATGAGGCCAACATTACCCTGATACCAAAACCTAGTAAAGATAACACACACACACAAAAAAACTATAGCCAAATATCTCTGATGAATACAGATGCAAAAATCCTAAACAAAATACTAGCAAATAAAATACAACAACACATTAAAAAGATTATACATCATGATCAAGTGGGCTTCATTCTAGGGGCACAAGAGTGGTTTAACATATGCAAATTGATTAATGTGGTATACCACATTAACAAAATAAAGGATTAAAATTATATGATCATATTGATAGATGCAGGAAAAGCCTTTGACAAGATACGGCATCCATTTATTATTAAAACACTTAATAAAATGGGTATAGAAAGAATCTCAACATAATAAAGGCCGTATATGACAAATCCTCAGCTAATAACATACTTAATGGTAAAAAACTAAAAACCTTACCTCTAAGATCAGGAACAAAACAAGATTGTCCACTATCACCACTGTTATTCAATACAGTGTTGGAAGTTCTAGCTTAAGCAATCAGGCAAGAGAAAGAAATAAAAGGCATCCAAATTGGGAATGAAGAAGTCAAATTGTCGCTTTCTGCAGATGACATGATTCT